CAGTGGCCTCTATTCTTCCAAAACGTTTTAAAAGTTTGTCCTCTTGAAAAGAAGAAAATTGCTCGAGTAAATGAACTATTACAAATAATAAGAAATGATCAAAGCGATGGTATGTTATTTGTATATTATTATACAATAATTTTTATGCAGTTATAAACTTGAAAATATAATTTGTATAACGTTTTCGGAAACAGAAATTAAAGCTATTGCGCAATTGTGTGCACTGTCATACATGATTCCTCCAAGAGGACGAGTTAAAACAAACAACAAAGAAGGGTCATTGGAAACCTTCAATGATTGAATCTGAAGAAAATCTTGTTGTACATGTCAAGGTATGATTAAAAGTTTTATTTAATTTTTTCAAAAAATAATGCATGTACTTTATAATCATGATTTTTTCAGACTGCTGGAGATATAAGTGATATTCGACAAAAACGAATTGATGCAATGTACCAAATGAATTTGACACTTCAACCATATATTATTGTCGTAATACCTACTTTGGCAGAAATATCATCGTTTTTTATATCTGTTGACAAGATCTTATACAACATAACATCTGCGTTTAGAGCAATCGACACTTGCTTCAAAATCTTTCATATGCTGAATATCGAATATCCGGCAACAGCTCATCATATATGGGTACTGATCTAACGTGAGTTGTATAACTTTACAACAAAATACGGTAAAAGTGGGGTTTAGGGGGACCACCTCCAATGAGCTTGTCATTGATATATATTATCAAGGATACTCTACTGAGTGACATTCAAGAGGTTTTAGCCGTCACTCATTGTTTGTTAAAAAGTAATTAACAAAAGAAATTTCATAAATAGAATGTAATTTTCCGACACCGTGTATATATTTAAGGAATGAGCACATGCTATACACGCACTACATATGAATATATTCACCGCACTACGAAACTTGTTCTGTTTTGATTATTTCTATTGTGTATATTCTTACTTGGTATGTTTCATATTATTACTCTCAGTTGTTCTTTCGTCGTTCAACTAGTTGGTCGCTTAAGTAAATCTAAGAGTTACGTAAATTTTCAAGATGTATTAGGAGCGCAAAAAAGTTCTGAGCCCTAGATTTCATACTACTGAAACCACAATTTAAATTGCATTAATTTTCCCACCCTCTTGCGGTTTTAAAGCAGTGACATTTGGTCTTTCGAAACATCGTGCGATTTGGCGTTTGATGCACATAACCTTAAAATCAGCAGTGTTCACGATGGCAATAACAAAAGAGCATATTCGATTTTCCATCCACTTCGCGTTTCATCTGAAGAAAAATGCTGCTGAAGCCACTGAAATGATCTGTGTTGCATATGGAGAGAACGCTGTAAGTTATGCTACGTGTAAAAGGTGGTATCAAAAATTTCGCCAAGGAGATTTCAGTCTTGAAGATGAACCGCGACGCCCTCAAAAGACTGAAACGGACGGACTGCAAGCATTGTTGGATATAAACTCTGCACAAACTGAAAAGGAGCTTGCAGAGCAACTTGGCGTTACGCGACAAGCCATTTCCATACGTTTACATGCAATGGGAAAAGTTCAAAAGGAAAACAGATGGGTTCCGCATGCACTGTCCGAAGACAACAAAAATCGACGGCGTGACACGGCACTCACTTTGCTTTCAAGGTTTCGGAAAAAGGATTTTCTGCACCAAATCATTACAGGTGAAAAGTGGATACTTTATGATAATCTGAAGCGTGAAAAATCATGGGTTGACCCTGGTCAACTTTCAACATCGACGCCAAAGACCAATATCCACGCCAAGAAGGTTTTGCTTTGCATATGGTGGGATTGGAAAGGTGTATTGTATTACGAGTTGTTACAGCCGGGTGAAACAGTAACGGCAGATCGCTATCAGCAACAATTGAGCAATTTGAGCGATGCGTTTGAAGAAAAGAGGCCATTTACTGGCAAAGGACATCGTAAAGTGATACTGCTTCATGACAATGCCCGACCATATGTTGCGAAAGTGACTCAGGACCATATCTTTGCGTTAGGCTGGGAACTTCTCCCGCACGCGGCGTATAGACATGGCGCCTTCTGATTATTACCTATTCCGGTCTCTGCAGCATTTCTTGGCTGATACACATTTTGTGACACTTGAAGAGATACGAAAATGCATTGATGACTTTATCGCCTCGAAGCCGGTGAGCTTCTACTATCAGGGAATTCGCAAGCTGCCCGAAAGATGTCAAAAGGTCATCGATGTAAACGGGGAATATTTCGTTGATTAATATAGTTTTGTTTGTTTTTAAATAAATTTTGAATTTTGCAAAAAAAGGCTCAGAACTTTTTTGCGCTCCTAATATTTACATGAATATTTACACATGAATATTTATGACGCATAATTTCGACAGTTTATGGAATTCCTTATGTGCAGAAAAGGTCGTTCGAAATGAGATAATATATCCGCGATGTAAAAAATTATTAAAAGCAAATAATCCACTTGAAAATCGTTTATTACATTGCACAAACAAATATTATAAAGTTACTAAAGGTCGAAAATGACAAAGAATAACGTGCAACTTCAAAATTAGTAGTATATTTCACGGAACATGATTTTCAAGAATGCACATGGATTTGACTGTAATTTGCCGTTTTATCGGCTATTTTCTAATGATGCAACCACCACGACAGTCATTTTTAATGAATGAGTTGCAAATAGATCAACATTGTATTGTTGATTGGACGATTTTTTGTCGAGAAGTAAGTAATATACTGCTTGTTACTTATTTATTTGTGCTTGTTAATGAATAATATTACATTAATTTGTTAAATTATCTCTAGTTATTTCAACAATGGATTGAAGATAAACAAATTCCAATTGGCGGAGTGAATAAAATTGTAGAAATAGATGAAGCCAAAGTGAGAAAAAGAAAATATAATACAGGATGTATAATAAAAGGACAGTGGGTTTTTGGTGGTATAGAACGTGATACCAAAAAGTTTTTCATTTTACCCGTACCGAATCGACGTGCTGATACTCTGCTATCTGTTATTAAAAAATATATTGCACCTGATTCTATAATATTATACATACGGACCAGTGGTGAGGATATGATATTTTGCGTAATTACGAAAATTATACTTATAGAACAGTAAATCAATCAAGAAATTTTGTAAATCCAGAGACTGGTGTTCATACACAGAACATAGAAATATTGTGGAGAGATATGCGAGCAAAAATTCCTCGATATGGTATACGAGATTATCATTTTACGCATTATTTTGCAGAATTTATATTTAAAAAAGCATACGATTTTGACAAACATATTGATAGTTTTTTTCGAAATTATGAATTTAATATATCCATTAGATAATCCGAACATGGAATAAATTTCTTTATATACATTTCTTCTATTAATAAAGGGTGTCTCAAAATGATCTGACATTTTAAATTGCGCGCCATTTTTTTTGTAACGAACATAGAATACTAATCTTTGACAACTGGCATCAGGAAGTATTGAGGTTTAGTCATGAAGAATTACGATCGAGCAACACATAGAAATTATGAAAATTCACTACAAAATTGCAGACGAAGTTTCATGGTGGTGTCATTTCGCACCGCGGCGATGTGAATTGGCCACCAAGATCGTGCGATTTGACGCCATTGGACTTCTTTCTTTGGGGTTTTCTGAAAGGAAAAGTGTATGCCAATGATCCACAGACCATTCCGGAGCTCAAGGAAGAAATTAGACGCACCATTAATGAAATTAGTCCGCAATTATGCCAAAATGTCATTGAAAATTTTGTCAAAAGAATGAACGTTTGCAAACAGGATCGAGGCGGCCATTTATCGGATGTTGTTCCACATATAACCTCCATGTTTGTACCTTATATTAAAATAAAAACATTCGTACTTTTCAAATAAGTAATATGTTTTATTAATAAATTAAAATGTCAGGTCATTTTGAGACAACCTTTACATATATATAATATAAGATTATGTAACCTAATACTAAGTATAATACTTTCAATTACTATTAAAATGATATATATATATAAAATAGTATACGTATATGCGCGGGGGAGGAACGGAGCCCCAAAAAACCTAACCCTAACCTTTTTTTTTCTTGATAAGGAGGAAATCCATCATGGATACCCTGACCCTCGGGGAAGGGTTATGCCGGACTCCTACCGGCTAAAACCTCCCCGGGTGGCGCTGCGAAGGGACTTGGATCGGGGCCCCAGTGCCTACGTAACTGCGATTGGGGCCCCGAGTCCAGATAGACTATCATTGTCTTCTCCGAAGGGTGGATGGGGGAGGGGGGACGCGAGCCGGAGCTCATCTTCGACCGCCGCCTCCCAGGGGGAGGAGGGAAGCGATCCAAGGATCGCTTCAACCACCGCTCCCCCTTCCACCCCTCACGCCCTGCTTTGTTGGGAAGGAGGAAGCCGTCCAAAGGGTCTGCGCTTCAACCACCGCTCCCAGCCAGGCGGGACGCCGCCAACAAGATGATGTGCGGCTGGCTGATCCACCTTCTCAGCCAGCCGCTCTTCATTTGGAGAGGTTGATTGAGGTGCTGGGAACCCCCGCCCAGCACCCCACCCTCCTGCCCGGCGGTTACGGGGGGAAAAAATCTTATCCCCTAGCCGCCGGGCATACCCGCCTCTAAGAGGCGGGGAGGCGTTAGAAAACCCCTCCCTTCATGCCCACCTTATTGTGGGCTTTGGGTAGGGTGGTTGTTGGCGATTATCGCATCACTCTCCCCCCTTTACCCTCATCCGACCCCTGTCCTCGGGGCCGGCGGTCGGCTGCGGGGTGAATGGTCCACCCCCTTCCTGCTCTTCTCACTGCCATAAATGGTGCATAAGATGACTGCGCCATTCCTACCACCATTCCTGCTCCTGCGGGTCGTTGCGCCCTCCCTCGTTTCACTACTTTCTGGGAGGGGGGGGCACCGCGCACTGACATGGGTGCCCTTCTTTTCCGCTGTGTCGGGGGAGATGCTATCGGAGGTGGAGGGGGTGCTGGTATCTCCATCATCCTGACAGCCTCTTCCGCAAAGGAATCCGCATCCCCCTCCCTGCTCCTACTCCTCGATCCGCGCCAAAGTCGGAGTTGCTGTCGTCTTCTCTGCTTCTCTGCTTCCAACCCCGGCCTTCCGCCTGCCGGCATGTCTCCTCCGCGGCCTCCATCTGTAAGATGACTGCCTCACAGAAGGAGGCGAATATCCTCCATTTTCTCTCGCTCCCCACAATTGCGTTCACTATCGTGGGGAGCGAGAGATCGTGTCCCAATCCCCGGATCACGACTCCGCGCTCGGCAGCCCATGCCGGGCAGTCCTGCAGTGTGTACTGCACGGAGTCGTGATCAGCATCGCAATGGTGGCAATGCGCTGTACCTTCCTTGCCTATTCGACACAGGTACTCACCGAAACATCCATGTCCGGTGAGCACCTGTGTCATCCTGAATGTCAAGGTCCCGAATCCCGTGTCCATCCACTCCTGCAGACAGGGGTGGACGGTATTCCTCCCGTATCTGGTGTTCTCCAGGCGTCTTTGCCATCTCCAGAGGAGGAGCTGTCGAGCCTGGTGCTTCATCCGCTGTATAGCCCCGGCGAGTGCCTGACCTGCATCCTCTGTTTTCATGAGCTCCCCCTCCTCATATATATATTACGGTACATGAGGGCGAGGAGCTCCAGGGGAGGCATGTCCGCCAGGACCGTCGTCGCCATGTGAGATACCGTCCTATATCCTCTAATGACTCTGACCGCCACCGCCTTGTGCGCTCTACGCAAAAGCGCTTGCAGTGGACGGCTGGCGGCCAGAGCCTCAGCCCATACCGGCGCTCCATACAGCGCCACTGAATTAAGTATCCCAGCGTGGAGGCGACGAGCCTTTCTGTCCGGTCCCCCGATATTGAGCATTAACTTGCACAAGTTGGCCGAAACCGCCCTCAATCGGAGAACCAGACGGCTTATATGCTCCTTGAAGCACCAGGTGCCGTCCAAAGTGAGGTCCAGATATTTCATCTGAGCCTCTATCGGGACCCTGACAGCCCCCACCCGTATCTGGGCCTGGGGTGGCTTCACTCCCTTCTTCCTATATAGGAAAATCGCTTCCGTTTTCCTTTCAGCCATCGCCAGACCCAGATTACTGATGGCACGCACAGCGCATGCCACCGCAATGTTGGCCTCTCGCAAGGCATCCCCCTAGTCGTTCCCCCCAGCCAGTATGAACGTGGCATCAGCGTAGCATATCATGCTACTGCCGGGGGGGAGGGCTGTTCGGAGGACTGAGTTGTATCCGAGGTTCCATAGCAGGGGGCCCAAGACAGACTCCTGCGGAACCCCGCAACTCATCCCCCTCCCGCGCACTTTGCCGTCGGCGTCCTTCCAGCTCAAGCGCCGACCCCTGAAGTAATCCTCGATGACGGCCACGAGATAGGGTGGGAAGCGGAAATAGTTCCTCATTGCTTCCACCACCCTACCCCAGGGCAGGGTGTTGAAAGCGTTTGCTATATCCAAGGATACAGCAACCGCCACCCCGCCCCTCTGCACGATGGCCTCCGAGAGGGTACGTAGGTGCAGGATCGCATCTACTGTTAACCTTTCCTCCCGGAAGCCATATTGGCCGTCATCGAGATTCGGACCTTTCCGGGCCATATGCTCCGTGAGACACCTAACCCTAACCTAACCTAACCTAACCTAACCGATTTATTAGTTATGAGTTAGGTTAGAGTTAGGTTTTTTGGGGAGGCAGAGCCCCTCCCCCGCGCATATACGTGTGCTATTTACTATATTTCTTTATATATACTATGTGCAAAAATATACACATGAGTTCTCATATACAGGGTGAAGAAAAAATCCCGGGACCCTTGAAAATTTCGAAAAATATATACTTTATAACAAATATTTTCAGACAAAAGTTGTAGCGTTGAAAAATATCTATTTACCGATCTTAACAATTTGACCTTGGGTGGCATCATCAAGGTCAGGACAAGGTTACCTCGGATTTTTTAAATGGAACCCCCAATTTTTATTGCATATTCTTATAGCCCTTCTTCAGACCTTTTCAAAGCACTATGGTTTTATCGAATTTGAATAAGCTGTTCTGAAGTTATCGAGTTTTTTAAAGTAAGATATCTAGCCAACTAAGGCAAGATCGGAGGATGATCCGGCCAACTAAGGCAAGATCTTAGGATGATCCAGCCAACTAAGGCAAGATCGGAGGATGATCCGGCCAACTAAGGCAAGGTCGGAGTGATCGAGCCAACTGGGACAAGATCGGAGGATGATCCAGCCAACTCGTAAAAATAATTGTGCGATTAACTTCCAGGCGTTGGCTGCTATTGGCTTGTCCTAATTTCGTTGATTGATTTATTTCAGTTATTTATTTATTACAACTATTCTGCTGTTCGATGTTTATTTCTTCCATTTACTCATTTAATATTCGTTACAGTTTAGTAAATCGCAAACTCGACTGAATTTCCTCTATTTTTTTGAAAATTATTAAGAAACAGTTTAAAGCTAGTTATAAGTTGACTTAATTGCACTTCATTCCGTGCTCATTATTATTCTTCAGCACTGTCTTTACAATAACTTTGAATTGATCCAAATATTAATTTAGTCGGTTAGACTAAATCTTACCACTTCTGCTTGTCAATATGGCAAGTATTTCAGAACGAGAACGCATATCTCTTTTGATGATGAGAGGATGAGATGATCGACTAAGGTCGTACAATAATGTGAGGCGGCTATTTAATGAAACTTTTCATAATCAGGGTAATGCCATTTCAAAATCTACCGTTGAAAGAACGATAAGACGTTTTCAGAAAACTGGAAGTATGAAAAATCGTGCAATACCAGGTAGGCCAGTATCAACAACAAGTGTAGAAAAATCATTAGGTGTTCTACAATCCTTTATCGAAAATCCGCATGATTCGACCCGCAAAGTAGGACAGCAACATGAAATAGACCAAATGTCTATGCTTAAAATATTGAAAATGAATAAATTTCATCCTTATAAGATCCATCTTGTACAAGAGCTAAATGAAGATGATTTTGAAAGGCGCATTGAATTTTGTGATTTGATGATGGAAAAATTAGCCATAGATTCTAACTATCTATCAAATGTAGTATTTTCAGATGAGGCAACATTTCAGTTAAATGGCCATGTTAATTGACACAATTGTAGATTTTGGTCAGATACAAATCCTCATTGGATTGAAGAAACACACACGTAGTATCCACAAAAAGTGAATGTTTGGGTAGGCATTTTGAATAATGTTCTCATAGGTCCATTCTTTATTGACGGAAATCTAACAGCGATAAAATATGAGAATATGCTAGGAAACGAAATAGTTCCAGCGATACAAGCAATCATGGATGATAACTTCGAGCATACATGGTTCCAACAAGATGGTGCCCCCTCACATTACGGAAGGGACTTCCCTAATTATCTGGACACAGTGTTTCCTCATCGATGGATAGATAGAAGAGGACCTATAGAATGCCCTCCTCGATTTATCACCTAACGATTACTTCCTGTGGGGCCATTTAAAAGATAGAGTTTACAAAACGAAACCACAAAATTTGGATGACTTACGAAATCGAATTCTTGATGAAGCTGCTCTCATCCGTGCTGATTACATTCAAAAAGCCGTTTCATCTTTTTACGATAGATTAGCTTATTGTCAAACTGTTGATGGCGGACATTTTGAACAATTACTTTAAAGCTTTCTAGTATTGTCTTAGTTGGCCGGACAACTCCCGGCCTTGCCTTAGTTGGTCGAATCATCCTACGATCTTGCCTTAGTTGACTGAATCATCCTCCGATCTTGCCTTAGTTGACTAGATCATCCTCCGATCTTGCCTTAGTTGGCTGGATCATCCTCCGATCTTGCCTTAGTTGACTAGATCATCCTCCGATCTTGCCTTAGTTGGCTGGATCATCCTCCGATCTTGCCTTAGTTGGCCGGATCATCCTACGATTTTGTCTTAGTTGGCTGGATCATCCTCCGATCTTGCCTTAGTTGGCTAGATATCTTACTTTAAAAAACTCGATAACTTCGGAATAGCTTATTCAAATTGAATAAAACTATAGTGCTTTGAAAAGGTCTGAAGAAGGGCTATAAAAATGTGTAATAAAAAGTTGGGCGTTCCATTTACAAAATCCGAGGTGACTTTGTCCTGACCTTGATGACGCCACCCAAGGTCAAATTGTTAAGATCGGTAAACAGATCTTTTCCAACGCTACAACTTTTGTCTGAAACATTTTTTTATAAAGTGTATATTTTTCGAAATTTTCAGGGGTCCCGGGGTTTTTTCTCCACCCTGTATATGCAATATTTATACAACTTCTTTTGTTAATAACTTTTTAATAAATAGTAAGCGACGACTAAAACCTTTTTAGTGTTATTTAGGAAGGTGAGTTCTATAACATGTATCAATATGAAAACTATCGGAGGTGGGTCCCCTAAACCCCACTTTTACCCAAAATACGATAAAATACCGTCACATATTTTAGAAATAATGAGTACGTTGAAAAATTTTCTTTAAAATTTATGATAAAGTTTAAAATATTATAAAAGTTACAAATATTATTATTCATATAACCGCAGTCTCATATATAGTTACTTTTATTTGATATTTAGAAACACATAGTTCCTTATAATTTATATTTAATTATTAATCAAGTTTATCTCATTTCTGCGATATTAAGTATAAAAAAAGACATTTTAAGTAATTTATAAAAATATAGTTAATTCTAAAATTTTATTTTTTTACATTCTATTTTAATTAATAATATTAATTCAAATAGAATTATATTAAAATTACAATTCTATTAATAATTAATAACTAAAAATTTTTATAATGTATTCTTGCCCATCTTGCTTCGAATCGTATGGCTCTATTATATGTTTGAAAGCACATTGTAAATTAAAACATCCTACAAAATTACATTCTTTTTTTCGATGTCAACAAGAATTGTCAACAAAAGTGTCAACAGAATTGTCAACAAAATGTTATGTTCTCGCACTTTTAGTGATATTTATAGTTTTCTTAAATATTTATCCAGAACTCATTTAGAAACTAATATTAAAGACAATATTGAAACCAATAATAAGACATTTTGCAATGATAATAATGTTTTAGATATTGATAAAGTTTCATGGAAGAGATCACATTTAATAATTTGTCCTCACAATCAATGCCTTCTACTTCTTGTGCTATTAGTAATAGCGATAACAATTTTAAGGACATAACTGTTGTAGAATTTACAGAAAAGATCGCACAAATTTCATCTGTATTTATTGCAAATTTATACTCTCGACCATCATTACCGCGTAAACTTTGTCAAGATATAATAGAATCAATAAAAAACTTTCTTAATTGTGTAAAAATTTTAAAGGAAAGATATAAGTCAATTGAGCAGAATCCTAATGAAGATTTAAGTATTATGTTTGATATTTTAAGTAATGCATTTGCAGATCATTCCTCAGAATATCAAACAATGCTTTTATTTAAATCATTAAATTCTTTAATAGTACCATAAGAAATATGCATCGGCGCATTTATTGATTCTAAACTTATGAATACTGCTAAACAAATGCTCGTGAAAAATCGAAAAATATGCATTGTACCTTTTGAAAAGTATTAAAGACCTTTTTAGAGTTGCCAGATGTATATAACAAAATAATGTCAAACATTATAAAAAATGAACAGAACAAAATAACAACAAATATATTCCAATATATTCCAAAATGAAATATGGCATTCTATTATTAGATGTACAACTTTGCTTCCGCCGTTTTCCTATAGATGGCTTTAGCGGTAAGCAGTGGTCGAAATAAATAGATTATAGACGTCATGCAATGAACTTGAGCATCTGTCAACATAACCCCATAGAAACATTAGTCGATTTGTGTCTGCATCATAAAGTTATTCTCGATCGAAAATGTCAGTTTACGAGCCAAATTCTCGGCATTTGCGGGAGGTTTTAATTTTCTGCTTCAATATGAAGAAATCTGCGGCTGAGGCTCATCGAATGCTCTCAAATACTTATAGTGAGGCCGCTATTAGTCAAAGAACGTGTCGTGAGTGGTTTCATCACTTCAAGAACGGTGATTTTCACGTCG